CTACGTGAAAAGACTTACATAGGAAACCAACGTTATTTACACTAAGGAACGTCAGAAACACAGACGTCTAATAATACAGGTGTGATTACATAAATTACAGTCCATTCACACAGCACAGAATCGATAAAATCAACATATTCTACAGAGAAAACTCCCACCATAATAGTAACAGAGAAAAAGCAAGACACCATGATATATTTATGGTGTGACTTCATCTTTATAAGACAAATGCAGCTCTGGGGCGCCTGAGTGGCTCAGTCAGTTAATCGTCTGACTCTTGATTTCAGCTCAGGTCATGATCTGAGGGTTGTGGGATCAAGCCCCTAGTGGGGCTCCACGCTCAGTGGGGAGACTGCTCAGATTCTCTCTGCCCCTCCCCCCACTTGCACCAGTGTCCCCCCCCCATAAATAAAATTTAAAAAAAGAAAGAAAAACGCAGCTTTATGATGTGTTAGGAAAAAGGGCTGAGAAGAAATTAAAAAGTTGATGGTGGTTTAATTCTCCTCTTTACTCCTTTGTGTTGTTTAAGATTTATCTAAAGAATATGTATTAGTTTCATAATAACAAATAGTGATTTCTTGATATGTATTAGTTTCATAATAACAAAAAGTGATTTCTTGAAACAAATGAATAAATGCAACAGTAACAACAAAATAAGTTCCTCTACAGCCATCCAGTGTGAACTGAACAAAAGGAGGCCTGAATCAGGGCTGGAAGCAGATAAGAACGTCAAGATCAAGCTCTCCCCTGCTCATTCCCTCAGGCTTGAGCTTGATGTGTTCCCAACTAGCCAGGGGGACTCTCTAGGATGTGAAGGAAAGGAACCAGGGGGTCACCCCTTCCCCCTGCACAGGGGAGTCCCACGCACCCTCTGGCCTCCGGAAGACAGTCAGCAGCAGCACCCTCCCCCTTACCAGCTTCAGTTATTGTTTTAAACCAGTCCAGCAACTTCTCCAAACAGGTGTCATCTGCCATGGGCTGCCTGGGGTCCGCCAGAACAGCACAGAGAGCCGGGAGGAGTTGGGAGCACTCTGGGTCCATGGTGAGGCTGGAGATTCCTGCAAAGAAAACGTGAGGGCCAGGTGCCACCCACCCTAGCCACAGGCAGCCCCCGTGTCTGCTTGGGCCAGGCGCTGAAAGACCGCATGCCAGGGTGGATGCAAAACCTCAGCCTGGGTGGTACTGGGAGGTGGTCAGGGGCAAGCAAGGCCCTGAGTTCGGCTCTCCCGGGCTGGAAAGGGGCCTTAGGAGCTCAGAGCCTGCCAACCTTGAACTCCGGTGGGAGGGGAGCAGCTTGATGCTCACCCGGACAGCGCGTGGGCCAGTTAGGGGTATGTGTGCGCGTTCTGGCGCCAGGCACGCGCATGGGGGCAGAGCGTCTCTCCCGGGGTCAGTGCGTCTGCATCCTACAACCTCGCAGCTAGTAGCGCGGGGAGGGGGAGGCGCTCCATCCACTCTCAGTCCCTCCCGGGCCGGGACGTGCACCTGCGAGTCCTGCCGAGGGGACCGGGAGCCCCTCGGTCCTGCAGTCAGGGCGCGCGCTCTCGGGAGGCTGGGGTGGGCAGGGACTCTGTCGCAGTCGGGAGTGGGTCTGTCTGTCCGTCCCCGGTGAGGCCAGCTCCCTGGGGAGGGAGCCCTCGCTGAGGGAGCCGCCGCGGCCCCGGCCGGCCGAAGAACCCAGAGAAGGCACGAGGCGGCGGCTGCCGTCCAACCGGCCCCAGGTTGCCCCCGGATCCCTGGTCCTCGGTCCGGACTCCTCCCGGCCCTCTGCCCCGGCCCGGACCGCTCCCCGTGCGCGCGGCTCACCTGCGGCGCGTCCCTCGGCCGCCGCAGGCCCCGCCCCGGACCGCGCCACTTGCCGAGTCCGGCGGGGACGCGCACAGGGACGGCGGCCGCGGGAAACCCTCAAAGTGCCCGGAAGGCCTCTCTGGGAGCCCCGGGGCCCCACACTTGGCGACCGAGCTCAAGCTGAGGGGCGCTGAGACAGGCCGGCGCCAAACCGGTGGCACCGACCCGTCACCCTCACAGAGACGCCGATGGTACGTGCCCGAGGACCCAGCGGGCATTGCGCCCAGAAGGCGGGGCTTCTCCGAAGGAAGGGGTGGGGCCAAGGCCGGAAAAGGCGTGGCTTCGAGAGCTTAGGGGACAAAGTGTGTGGGTGGGCAGGTGGGAGGGATGCCCAACGGGGAAGGGGCATTCTCATCTTTAAGGTTGAGTCACCGGTCCTTTGGCCTCAAAACTGGGTCCTCAGGGCCCGTCAGCTGTGTGCCAGAGTTCTCAAAGCCAGTGGACAAAAACAAGCCTCATCTTGGGGCGCCTGGGTAGCTCAGTCGGTTAAGCCCCTGACTCTTGATCTGACTCTTGATCTCAGGGTTGTGAGTTCAAGTCCTGTGTTGGGCTCCAACAACATCAACAACAGCAACAAAACAAGCCTCATCTTCCCATAGCGTCAGTGTTTCAGCAAGATTTTTGGGGAACCACCAGGTACATATTAGGATATAGAAAGCAGAATCCTTAGGGGTACTAAGCTAAAAAAGAACTTTAAGGGGCACCTGGGTGGCGCAGTCGATTAAGCCTCTGCCTTTGGCTCAGGTCATGATCCCAGCGTCCTGGGATGGGGTCCTGCATCGGGCTCTCTGCTCAGTGGGGAGCCTGCTTCTCCCTGTCCCTCTGCCTGTGCTCTGCCTACTTGTGTGTTCTCTCTCTCTGTCAAATGAATAAATAAAATCTTAAAAAAAAAGAACTTTAAAAAACATTGACCTTGATGGGTGACCACTCAGGACACCCCGCCCCTTAGAACTACTTGGGTGAAAAGGTTTAAACTGCACAGTTCTCTTCCCTGAATTGTGATCCCTCATTGTAAAAATGGGGATACTAGTATTTGTGTAGTTGAGCAGTTGTGGGGGAAAAACATCTTCTAGTAGCACTGTGCTGAGTGCTTCACTTAATATAAGCCCAGGTGATTTGCCACCACTTCGAGGAGGGTGGGTATTATTACCATCCCCTCAGATGAATAAACTTAAGCGTAGAGAGGCCAACTCCTAAGGTCGTGGAGCTAGTGGGCTGGCATGGCCTGGATCTGAACCCAGGCAGTCTGGCTCCACAGTTGAATACTATACAGGTCCACCGTTTCATAACTGAAACTTTTGAAGACACCTGGTTCAGAAAATATAATTGTTCACACTTTAGAGAAGTTACATGGTACATATACGCTGTATGTGAGATTACGATCCCAGCAGGATCTGATGCCGCACACCATAATCCAATGCATTAAAAGTTCCCTGGTGAGACTCATTAATATACACTCCAAGTGGAATACAGAAGCATTGCACATAGCCTCAGCTCAGACTTTTGTTGGCAAATGAGTTGAGGTCAGAACAGGTTTGGCCAACAAAAAAATTTTGAAAGGCTTTCAGAAGTTTTTAGAATTCAGAAGAGCAGGGCGCCTGGGTGGCTCAGTTGGTTAAGCGACTGCCTTCGGCTCAGGTCATGATCCCAGAGTCCTGGGATCGAGTCCCACATCGGGCTCCCGGCTCGGCGGGGAGCCTGCTTCTCCCTCTGACCCTCTCCCCTCTCATGCTGTTTCTCTCTCTCTCAAATAAATAAATAAATAAAATCTTTTAAAAAAAAAAATTCAGAAGAGCAGATAAAAAGTCATGAACATGTACTGTCTCTATAACTAAATGAGAGAAAGTAAGTGAAGCAACACAAACAGAAGAGCAGGGGCATTGCGGAGCTCCAGGAGTGGAGTAAGAGGTACAAGTGCATAGGTAGGTTAGCTAGCAAAAGCTCTTGTCCACCTTGTGGGCAATACCTCGAGGAAATAAATGGGAGTCCTTAAGATAATCAGCTCCGTTTCTCCTGCAACAGCCTCTGAACCACCTTGTGGCTGACCCTCTTTGTTGTGCAGGTGAGGATGCAGAAGACAAGAGGGCCATGAACCTGTAGTAGGTGTTGGTGCCAGAACTAAGAGCAGTAATAACCTGTCAGGCATTTCTGCCACACCACACTACAGTGGTGTGGGGATTCATTCATTCACCCCATCAAACGAAGTCTGTCACATTGCACTCATTCTGGAACAGGCAATTAAGCACTTTACAGATATTGACTCATTTGAGCCCCACAACACTTTTCTCCACTTTGTGTTTGAGGAAACAGTGGCACAGAGAAGTTACATGACTCCTTGGACGCCAAATATATATTAATTGAGCACCTGCCTGAGCCAGACCCTTCCAAGGGATGGAGGTATGGCTGTGAACTAAACAAAGCTCCTGCCCCAGAGAGCTTACATTCTGGACATGGGATGCTTTTGTGGATAATGTCACGTGGCTGGAAAAAAAAAAAAAAACAGGGTGAGAGGACAGAGTAGGTGCCCTTGGAGACCGGTATGAAGGAGCAAGAGCACATCCTACTTGCCAATAATAATTTAAATAAGCTTTGGAGCCCAGTGCTCCTAAAGATCTTCATGATACACACTAAGTGCAGTGCAAACTCATTATTTTTTATTGTCCTGGGGCTACATCAGAACCCAAGAGCCTAAGATAGAGATCCGGGAGGATAACTTTCTTAATGCCAGGTGTCCAGAACGAGCAGCCTGGGACACTGCACAAGCCCCTTGTCCCTTCCAGCGTTAACCTAACAAATACTAGCATCCTGCTCTGGTGACTAGCGCACCAGCTTATCGAGGAGCCTCCACGAGAGAAGGCGGGGGCGCACTCCAGAACCGTTAAGCGCGACCCGCAACTTCCAGCAGGGCCCGGCTCTCCGCCACCTCCGGGCGCGCTGCGGGTCGGCCCGCGGGTTTCTCAGCGCACGCGCACGGTCGGCCGG